ATAAAAGGAATAGGTGTTGGAGCTGTCACCCAGGCATTTGGCTCCTCCTGTTCCTTCACATGGTCCCACCGCTGCGGGAATGAGACTCCAGTTAGAGTGGCACTGGCAGAGCCTTTCAATAGCTGCTCAACGAGCGACCCCCCACAGGTGACTCCATCAGCCATGGGCCCCCACAGGAGGGCTGGGAAGCAGAGGTCAGCGGGCAGATATTCACTGTATCCCCATAGGGTCTGTGGTACGAGGTTACTACATTAAGGGAACTTGTCAAGACACATTTCCTGTTCCCAGGAGCTCACACTGATTTGGAAGCTTGATAAGAATGATGCTTAATCAATGGGAATGCATAAGGAAATAACTGAGTACATTAAAGAAGGCTAGTTAACTTGGAGTACTGCCAGGTGGTGGGTTAGGCTGGGTTAGCTGAGATGGGAATGGTGGAGGAGCTGTGCTTTAAGGGAAAAGAAGAGATGGGTTTCGAGTTTGAGAAACATGAATGTTGATGAGTTGGAGGGAAACCCCAAGCAGGTCACTTTGCTTTATGCAGGAGGGCAGGTTCCATCTGATGTCCATTTCCTTCTCTGCTGGAGACAGTGCAGAGAGCAGGCTGATAGCCAGCAACGTGACTCAGCTTTGAGAGGAGCCAGTGAACCTGACCTCATGGGCACGTGGGCCACTGCGCTCTGCTCTTTCAGCTCACAGAATCCCCTGATCAAAGATGCTTTTAGTGCCCACTTCGGCAGCACATATACCAAAGATGCTTTTAATTGGGAAAGAGCTATCAACACTTGTACAGATTTCTAAGGGTCAAGAATCCCTAGAAGGTATCATTTTTTCCCCCTCAACAAATTGAAAAATTCTAACCAAAGCGTATATAATTGCATAGCCATCTTTTTGTGCCCTAGCTAATCTTTTGAGCTAAGCAACAATTGATCCATATAAGTGCATCCATATAAATCGTATCTATGTCTCTTCTTTGCCTTCATTTGAAGAGAAGTCTAAATTTTTCTTTGTATGTAGGAGGAAAAAAGCTTTGTTTTTATTTTTGCACTGGACACATTTTTATTTTTTGGCGGCACGTGGGCTCTTTGTTGCTTCACGGGGCTTCTCTCTACTTGCTGTGTGCAGGCTTCTCTTGTTTTGGAACACGGGCTCTAGACCTTATGGGCTCCATCACCCTGAGGCATGTGGGATCTTAGTTCCCCAACCAGGGATTGAACTGATATCCCCTTCATTAGAACCCTTTTTAAAACCATACTCTGCATACTCAGGAAGAGAAGTTCCATGTGCCTTAAGTATAGTGTGGTTGGTTCAAGTTATACTTTAATATGAATTGTATTTTAATCTTTATATTGGGAAACATATTAGCAGGTTCTTCATCATTATTCTGACATTTTGTAAGCCACTGGCAATTCTCTGGCTCCAGGGTTTCCTCTTCCACAAAGAGAACTCATGTTCTTCCTAGAGATTTAATGGCCACTCTGAAATAATGTCTCATAGTTAATAAAATTTTCATGACTTTTACAAACTATATACTTCAGTAAACATACTAATGGATATACAATGAAGTGTCTCAAACCAGATGGTTCTCAATAAATTAACAAGGAGGAGTGTAACATTCAGATGGGGAATAAGGCATCACAGAAAGCCTTACTCATAAAATTAAGTAACCCTCCATAAATGTAAATGAACATGATAATAATGGCTCAGCATTTCATATCTTCTAAGTGCTTAGAGCAACCTTGTAAATAAGCAGGGACCTTAAGAGGCAGAGAGGAGACAGACTGCTAAATAGTGACATTGACGGCAACTTTCATTTACCCTGATTCAATTGGAAGAATTAATTAGTTGGTTCTCCAGGTCACAAAATGAAAATGGTGTGACATTTTGCTCAGCTTCAGGGAAGGTCTTACACAGACATACATTCAGTCCTGCAATTTTTCTTTTTTTAGGTTAGCAAGTTTTTTAAAAATGATGAAAAGGCTGGTGTTTACATTGAGCTTCTTTTGGTCTTTGTTTTAAGAACTCAAGAGCATCTTTTAAAATTGTCATCTTCGTTTTTTGTCAAAAGGTAAAAAGTTGTTGAAGGATCTGGATTTGAATCTGCTCTGTTGCTTTCTGGCTATGTAGTCCTGATGAATTGTAAACCCCTCTAAACCTGAGAATCCTCACTGTTACACAGGAAACCTGATAATAATGTCTGCATGGGTGATGAGCACAGTGCCTGGCCCAACGAGGGGCTTCGGTGATATGTGCTCAATCTACAATATGTGCTGAAAAAAAGAAAAGGATGTTCCCCCAGCTCTAAGAAGCTGCAGTTACTCTCCTTTCACTGAGGACACAGATGAACAAAAAGAAGAGGGAACACATCAGACCGATGGGGAACTGCAGGCTAGCAAGAGGTGTGACGCTGGCAGAGGCAAAAATAAAACCTAGGATCCCTGCGTCTAGAAGCGTATGAGTGGGGGCCAGCGAAGGCTCAGTAATTTATCTTCTCCCCCGTTCCCCACCACCAACTATTGCCTGCACACCATTCATGTGGTAAGGCACAAAGAACTGTGATCAAAAGCAAGATGGAGAGCTGCCCATTGAATCCTCCAGTTCTCCGAGTATACTGGGGTCTGAAGGAGAAAAGAGAACCAGCCCCTTCTTTTAAGTGTATTATTGCATCTACTTTTCTGTCCTGAAATGAATTCATAAATAATATGCCCTGCTAACATATATAGTTTTTTAAAAGGCTGATTCTCTAACTAATATGAAAGAGAAATAAAAGGAAAATGCTGTGCAGAAAGGTAGAAGATATTTTGTGTATACGCAGTCCAGAAATGCTATCCCATGCCCACGAAAAAGCACCCTGGAAGGCAGCAGTGGTGTCTCATGTCTCCTTACAGTGAATATGTTTGTAGTTAAGAGGAATGAGACATTGAGTTGAAGCTGGTCAGCCCTTTGTGCTTATCATTGCAGTCAGGAAAGAGAAGCTAAATAGAAAGGTGCCTACGCATAGACACACAGATATACACAATTAGCATTACTGTGACGGCTTCAAATATGGACTAGTTAGGGTACATTGTCCTGAGACCCAGCGCTTCAGGGTGGCATTGATTTTACTGCCCTGATTTTTCTGAAACAATAATGACTCGTTGGTGAAGTCTGAATAAAACAGCACAAAGGCTCTTTGATTTACATAGGCAGTTATGTTCCTGGAAAACTCAATGTGTGTTCAAATTGTGCCAAAGAGTAGATTCTGTGAACCCACATGAGAGCTGGGGAGGCATGTGAAGGCCGGTGGGGAGTGGACAGCTCTGCCCCATGCAGGACTGTTATCCCATCTCAAGGCATCTGGCATCCTTGGTCCTCAGCCAGGGACTAGGAAAGCACCCGCTGACCCAAGAACTGAACATGTGCTGTCTTTATATCACACCGTTATAGGGATGCAAGAATAAAGGTGGGAATGAGTGTGAGGGGTAAATTTAGTTTTCTTAAAAACTGGATTTTTCAAGAACTGAGAGTTACCAATATTCCTCTGGGTCTCTTTGGTCGCCCTTTGTTTTTAAAATAAAACCTCCTTTAGAACAGAAGCTGCCTTTCCTGGCTTTTCTGATCACACGTTATCTTTATGACTGTTAAGTTTCCAATGTTTTGCTAATGATTATTCCAAAAATTCTGTTTTTCCTGGTTTTCTTGTTTCTCTTTTTGTCGCCTTTCAGATGTGCCGTTACGTGTCCTTCTATGACTTTAGAACCTGTAATGATTTTATTGTAATTTTATCATGCTTATCTGTCCTAACCAGTATTTTATAATAGATACTAGTTCTATCTAGGTGATTTTCAGGGCTGGGCTATAATTGAGGAAATAACGTCCATTATTTCTTGGTGTGATTTGAGGGATTGAGCAGCCACTTGTAACAGCCTCCACGTCACCTGGTTATGACACTGTAACTCTTTCTTGCAAATGGTATTCAGGGTATGGAGCATCACTAGACCTGCCCTGTGGGTCTCAGGCAGGGCCGTGGCCCACATCTCACTCTCCAGGGACCCCCAGACACCTAGGATCCCCTCTAAAGTGCCCAGGATCCAGGCCCAGAGAGTCCAAGACAGCCTGGCTATGTGCCTTTTTTTTTTCAATATATATATTTTTTAATTAAAAAAATATTTTTTCTTTACCTGAGACAGGTCTCAGTTACAGCACTCGGGATTGTTGATCATCGTTGTGTTATGTTTCGTCTTACATGTCACAGTCTTTTAATTGTGGCATGCAAACTCAGTTGTGGCATGTGGGATCTAGTTCCCTGACCAGAGACTGAACCCCAGGTCCCCTGCATTGGGAGCCTGAAGTCTTAGCCACTGGACCATCAGGGAAGTCCCCATGTGTCTTTTTAAATGTCCCACGTGAACCTGATGGGCACCCACAGGCTCTAGGGATGATTCCAGCCAGGCACACCATACAGCCTTGGTTTCCTTACCTGGACCCGTCAGTGTTCTGCGTGCGAATCCAGAGGGTATGCATATCCAGTCGTGACCTAGGAGGGCCCAGTGGGTGTCCTGCTGGGTCAAAAACAGAGAAGCTACGGAGCCCTCGCCCATTTATTATTATCTGTTTATGGGGTTGACTTGGCTTCCCAGGTGACGCAGTGGTAAAGAACCCCTCTGCCAGTGCAGGAGAGGTAAGAGGAGCAGGTTCGATCCCTAAGTCAGGAAGATCCCCTGGAGGAGGGCATGGCAACCCACTCCAGTATTCTTGCCTGGAGAATCCCATGGACAGAGGAGCCTGGTTGGCTACAGTCCATCGGGTTGCAAAGAGTTGGACACGAATGAAGCGAGCTAGCTTGCACACATGCTCATGGGGTGCTTAGGAGGTTTCCATCATCAGGAGAAAGAACAGAAAATGACTTCTTACCTACACAGGTCCAACTCTGAATCATAAAAAGCATTACACTTCACCTGGCACAGAAGGCTGAAAAAGTCAGTGTTTGTGAGACTGAGGTTCTGTTTTTCTTTTTCCAGCTGACGTCACAGCATCCTTATGCTGAAGTTTTCATCGGCCGGCCACACGTTTGGACCGTTGACCTTGGCAATCAGGAGGAGGTCGAGGATGCCGTGAAAGCGATTTTAAGTCAGAAGGTTGTTTCTTTTATTCCATCTTCTCCATTGGTAATGTGAACGGGATGGTGTGGAAAGCATCCCAGGCGCTTCGTTCGAGTAGTTAGAACATTTCCATGTCAGCTTAACTCTGGCATTAGAAAACAGCCCAGTTGAAGGGCTGGCCTGCGGATTTGGTGGATGTTCCATGACATGGAAATGGAGCTGGTGTCCAGAGGAGTGTGGATTCTGCAGATCTTTTGACGTGACTCCTGGGTCCCATATACGGTAGTAGGAGCTTGAATTGTTACTTGAGTCTTTGACCTAATTATGTAGCTCTCCTAAAGATCATAAAAGATAGTCCTACTCCCCTGAAAAAAAAAAAAGTGAGAAGGATAAGGAATAATTAAGGAATTATTGGGAAATGTTTTTCTATAGCATCTATTTATTTGGCTTTTCTACCTATGCATCTTATAGAATTTTATATAAGAAACTAACTTCTCTGGACTTTTCCTGATCAGTTCAGCATCATGTATTAAATACCTACTGTATGCAGAGCACTTTCTGAACCACTGTAAGGAGATGCTTACTTCATAAACATAAAGGAGGCTGGTTCCACCTAGGATCCAGCGGCACCCCCTCCGGCAGGTACTTAACCTCTGAGCCTCAGTTTCCTCATCCTTTATGAAGGATAGTTTCATCTGCTTTACAGGTGCTTGAGAAGATTCAATGAGACAATTAATATAAAGGGCTTAAAGGCAGTGTCAGCATCATAAACATTTAGTCAGCAGTACGAAGTCAGTAGGCTTCCCAGGTGGCGCTAATGTAAAGAACTCACCTGCCAATGTAGGAGACATGAGAGACACTGGTTTGATCCCTGGGTCAGGAAGATCCCCTGGGGAAGTGCATGGCAACCCCCTCCAGTATTCTTGCCTTGAGAATCCCATGGACAGAGGAGCCTGGCAAGCTACAGTCCATAGAGTAGCAGAGAGTTGGACAGGACTGAAGTGACTTAGCACACACGCACACATGAAGTCAATGTTAGTATTACATATGCAATAATATTCTTTTTTATTGAAGTATAATTGATTTACAGTGCTGTGTTTCAAGTATACAGCAAAGTGATTAAGTTATCCATATATAAATTCTTTATCATATTTGTTTTCCATTATGGTTTGTCACAAGATATTGAATATAGTTGCCTGTGCTATACAGTAGGACCTGGTTGTTTATCCATCCTATATGTAATGGTTGGCATCAGCTCGCCTCAGCTCCCAATCCAACCCTCCCCTGCCCCCTTTCCCCTGGCAACCAAAAGTCTGTCCTCTATGTCTGTGAGTCTCTTTCTGTTTTATAGACAAGTTCATTTGTGTTATATCTTAGATTCCACATATCAGTGATATCGTACAATGATATGCCTTTCTCTGACGTGCTTCACTTAGTATGATAGTCTGTTGGCTGTTGGTCCATTCATGTAGCTGCAAATGGCATTATTTCATTTTTGTGGCTGAGTAATATTACAGTGTGTGTGTGTGTAAGTAACATATATACCACGTCTTCTTTTTCCATCGGTGGACATTTAGGTTGTTTCTATGTCACGGCCATTGTAATGCTATAATATTCTTATTTTTGTTAGTGATAGTCTTGATTTTCACTAGATTGTAAGCAACATGGGCAGGAACTGTGTCTCACTGCTGTGTTCTCAGGGCCCAGCATAATGATGTACCTCACAGATGCGTGGGAAGCGTGGAGGCAGTGAGGATAGATATTTGCAAATCACCACACTAAGGCAGAGGATGTTTGGTGCCAAGACCAACACACCAGAGATTGAGAGGTGTCTGTCTTCTCTGCTTCTTTTTTTTAATTGAAGCGTAGTTGATTTTACAATATCGTTAGTTTTCTGTGTACAGAAAAATGATTCAGATATGTGTGTATATTCTTTTTCATATTCTTTTCCATTTTACTTTATTACAGGATATTGAATATAGTGCCCTGTGCTATACAGTATAGGAGCTTGTTGTTTATCTATTTTATATATAGTAGTTTGTCCTCTCACACTCCTAATTTATCCCTCCCCACTCCTTTTTCTCTGGTAACTGTAGGTTTTTCTGTGTCTTTGCTTCTTATAAGGACATCAGGAGAATACAACATTGAGTTAAACCTCAGAGGATGAGTGGGGATCTGCAAACCTAAACTGAGAAGTGGGTTCAAGAAGATAAGAGTTGGAGGAACAGTGAGAGTCACGGGGAAGATTCTAGAAAGGCATGTATGCTGGGAGAAGTCACCAGTTGGCCCATGTAAAGGACCATCTGACCCCTTTGAGAAATAAACTGTGTACCCCACAAGAGCCAGTTTCAGCTTCCTGAGAACATCTCCAGGGAACAGGAGCATTCCAGTGTTGTCCATGTCCCTTTAGAGGGACTATACTTATTGGGCTCTGGGATGACTGCTCAGAGCTTCCCATCAGTGACGTGTACAATCACATCTCTGCCTCAACAGTTTAGGGCAGAAGTTCCCCAGATCTCTTGTGGCCAAGCCGAGAGACGAAGTGCCTAGTGAGGCTGGCTGCCTCAAGTGTCTGCCGCACGTCTGGATCTTCCCCACCAGAGGGTCCTCCTCATAAAGACTGAAAGCTCTTCTTTCTTCAGTCTGAGTCCTCTAGGGTGTTAGCTTCAAGAGCTGCCATAACAAAGAACCACAGCTTGGTGGTTTAAACAACGCAAATTTTTTCCCTCACAGTTCTGGAGGCTCCACGTCTAAAGTTAAATGTCGGCAGGGCCATGCGCCCTCTGAAGCACCTCTTGGAGGGTCCTTCCTTGTCTCATCCACCTTCTGGTGTTCTTGGCTTGTAGCTGCAACACTTTAATCCCTGTCTCTGTTGTCATGAAATGGTCTCCATATGTGTATCTCTCTGTCTTCTCCACTTCTTACAGAGACATCAGTCGTATTGGATTAGAAAGAAAGAAAAGTGAAGTCGCTCAGTCGTATCCGACTCTTTGCGACCCCATGGGACTGTAGCCTACCAGGCTTCTCCATCCATGCGATTTTCCAGGCAAGAGTACCAGAGTGGGTTGCCGTTTCCTTCTCCAGGGAATCTTCCCAACCCAGGGACCAAACCCAGGTCTCCCGCATTGCAGGCAGACGCTTTACCCTCTGAGTCACCAGGAAGCCCTTACTGGATTAGAGGACACCCTAAATCAGTATGACCTCATCTCACTCGATTGTATCTATTTGCATCTCCAAACAGAGTCCCACTCACAGGGTTAGGACTTCAACGTGTCTTTTTTGGGGGACAGTTCAACCCACAACACTTAGTTAAGTGTGCATGGCCTCGAAAAGGAGTAGTTCAAAAGTTAATGTACAGATGAAAATCTTGGATCATAAAGTTCAAAACCTTGTAGCTAATAGATCTGTTTTGTCAGACAGAAACTCGTGGGAATGCCTTACACATAAAGCAGTGAGTGGGTGCCGAGTTCTGTCCGCTCCTAAGCGAGGCTGTGTTCACTCCATGGAACATCTACTGTTCCATGTTTTAAAACCCTTTCCCTTGGTGGTTTGAACAACACAGATTTGTTTAAATAATTTTCAACTAAGGCCACTTAACTGGTTGCGGGGGAGGGTGTTAGTTATAATAGATATTTAGGGAGAATCTCTTTCTACACATGTAGAATCTCTCTATACATCTTTATGAGCCTTATCTCATTTAACCCTTCTACAGATAAGAACATTAAGGTTTAAAGAAATTAAGTAATTTACCTAAAATCGCACAACTAGTAAGTAGTAGGACCTGGGTAGAAACTAGTATTTTGGCTGGTTTATTAAGATGAAATTTAAGAAGAAAAACAGCATGAAATGAAGCAAAGGAAAAGTTGAGAGTGAGAAAGAGAGATAAAATAAAGGATGAGAGTAATACAAAAACAATTGTCATTATAACCCTTAAGCTTGTTATAAATGTGTCAGAAATTTGGTACCAAGATTTCTCATATTTAATTACAAGATTTTAGGTTACATGACACTCAAAAAAGCAAGAAAACATGACACATCATTAAGAGAGGACTCTGTCAATAAAACCAGACCCAGAGATGACCCAGATGTTGTAATTATCAGACAGCAAATGTTAAATGCTGATACAAATATATTAAAATGTTTGATGGAAAAAGTAGACAGTATATGTGAACAGATGGGGGATTTCAGCAGAAATGGAAAAAGAAATTTTAAGCCAAATGAAAAAATACTAGAACCAAAGGTACAGACAGTATCAGAAATGAACTCTTTCACTGGATTTATCAGCAGACTATACACAGCAGAGGAAAATAATCAGTGAACTTAACGACTTGTCAGTAGAAATTATTGAAATTAGAGAAACAAGATAAAAAGAGGGGGCATATAAGATCTGTGGAACAGCATCAAACAACCTAACTTACATGTGATGAGAATCTTGGAGGAGAGAATGATCAGAAGAAACATTTGTGAAAAGATGATGGCTAAGGATTTTCTAAAATTGATGAATGACATCAACCTACAGATCCTGGGAGCTCAGTGAAGGCCAAGCAGGATAAAAATGGAGAAAAACACAGTTAGGTACATTGTAGCTGAACTGCCAAAAATGAAAGATAAGGAAAATAATCTTGAAAGCAGCCAGAGAAAAATGTATTACATTCAGGGGAATAACAGTATAAAAGACGACCAGCTTCCTATTGGAAATAATGGAGACCATAGAAGATTCCATAGGAGCCAGAATGTGTAGAGCCTTTAAAAAGGTCACCATAGGGATTATGGATTTAATTCTAAGTATGATGGGTAGTTTTGAACAGTGGAATGGCATGACCTGTCTTACACTTGAAATCACCAAGAGAAATTACATGAAGTGTCTAACTTAAAATTCTCGACTTAGTAGATAGAGGAGATAAGACTCACCCCGTGGTCTTCTGCCTTCTAAGACCATCTCTCATTGACTGGTGCCAAGCCACCGGTCAGGTGGGGCCATGCAGGGGTTAACTGATCTCAGAGTGCAGTTCCCCTAGAAATCCACGCTCTGACTTAGAACGCTGAGTAATGCTAGAGGAGAGAGGACATCGCACAGGAAGGAAGAAGGTAAAGAGGAGCAAATGAAGGACAATGTGGGGGGATAGGGACAGTTTCCAAGGCCAGGAGGGACTGTGTGGTGCAGTCTGCAGGCATCCTTCCTGTGGCCATGATTAACAGTCCTTCTCCCACCAGGCGGGATGATCAAACACTGCCCCCTGCTTCTCCATAACTGGCCCTATTTGGGATTCTCAGCAACTGGTGCGGTTTCACATCCGCTTTCATTCCATCCCCCAAAGAGGCCTTGACTTTGCCTGAAGGGCTGTTCTGCAGAAAGCTCTCTCTCACGGACACACGCACACACGCACACAAAATCTGTGCAGCAGATCTAATATCAGAGACTAGCCAGTGCTCAGTATTCCTTACGCTGCAGACCTTTCCCACACAGAGGGCCCTGTTCCCATCCACAGCAAGATGGCTCCTGGAACTTACTGGCAGCGATGGCTTGAGAATATAGTTTCTTTTCTTTTTGGATTTTCCTTTATAGGAAAATTGGTTCCTTATCTTTTAGAACAGTGAACTGGCCACAGAGCAAGCAATGAGTCAGCATCCCTTTGGTTAACCTGGGTTTGGTTGGTAGGGTGACCTAGGAAGAGCCGTTTTTCTGTGTTTATTGCATGAGCTCTTTGAATTAATTCACTTTCATTTCTAATGGATGCCCTTTGGAATATGTTGTAGGAATGACCTTTGAGTGTTTAGTATGCTTCCTACCGCATAATTGAATCTGTTGGTGGCATGACACATGGTCACTGATGTTTGTTTATCTCACTCTAGAAATCCTACTTATCCCTTTTTAAATGAAACCGATATGCCAAGTCCTCTATTGTATGTTTTTTGTTGTTGTTCTTATTCCTCCATATATCTTCCCACAAACATGGGGGGAGACATATATCTAGCCAATTAGAGAAAGCTTCTGGAATCACTCACAGGTTGGTTAAATAAATATTCTTTAAAAGAAAATTAAAAGTATACATTGGGTGTAAAGGACTGTGTTTGGATTAGAGAGGGCACAGCAAGTGCAAAAGCTTGATATGAAAAGATGCAGGCTTGGAAGATGTAAGTTAGTTAAAGAATTTTGTGCTCGTCTGAGATGAACTATCTAGGGACAAAAGGACCTCAGTTCTTGCAGAATAGTCCTGCCCTGGTATTACGGTACTTATGGCTCTGCCTCTTTTGGCTGTCTCCGGGTGGATGAGGGCAGCCATGGCTGTGTGATATGTCATCTAATTGTGTATTCAAAGACACGTTATGAAAGTGACAATGATAGATGATGAAGATTTCAAAAGTAATATATGAATCAACACAGAAAATGGGAGAATATGCCTTGAGCCCAACTGCTTGGCTTCCCACAGATGAGTATCTTCTCTGTCAGTTTCCCATTTTCATCAGGCTTCATCTCACAGATGTTTTGTCCAGGCCTCCACCCTGCAGATTTGAGATAGGCAAGCGCAGACTTAAGAGGGAAGTGATGAACGTGCCAACTGCTGTTGGGTTCTCTGAAGCTGTAAAAAAAATTGGATTACTGGTGATTTTCTCCCAAGTGTAATGTCCATTTCAGGTTAATAATGCCAGACGGCTGTCCCTGAAGACACAGACGTCAGAATGTTGGCATAGGCAGTGCAGAACTCCAACCCACTTTTCTTCCCCTTCCATCAGTATCACAGTGTTGATCAGATTGCCTCCCCTACCCCAGTGAGGCATCTTCTGCATTACTTGCACCCTCAGATAAAGTCCAGGCTCCTTAGGGTAGAAATCTCAAGTCCTTTGTGGAAATCCAGTGAGCTGCTTCCTAGCCTAGCTCATTAGCTTCCATGATCCTAGTTCTGTCCTACCACACTCCTTCTTTCAAGTCTAATTTCCCACTACTTGCTCCCCTTAGAACATCTTCCATATCTTGGCCCTCCCTCAGTCTTGGCTTGCTAGAATCATAGCTGGTCTTAAAAGCCCAACATTAGCAGAAGTTGGCTTTGACCTTCTAGCCTCCTGGGACCCTCTCACTGAAATCTCTGTGATGCGTCATCACTGTTTTTTGCTCCATGAGTTCTTTGGGTACATATTCACCTACTAAAACAAAAGGAAGTTTTCTCACTGTCGTGAAATAATTCACCACATGCCTTTCTCAGGGGAGGAGGCCTGCGTTCATTCACCAGGTGTTTGCTGGTTCCAGTGTGTGCCCTGTTGGTCAGCACCAGGATACAGCTGATCTGCAGCCATGGATCCTGCCCCATAGATCTTACCTTCCAACAGCTGACACTCTGTACCTTTGGTTGGATGCCTTCCATGTGTTAGACACTGAACTAAGCACTTTACTTTTTCCCTCGGTGTAATATTCATCACAGATCCCAAAGAATGGGTTTTTCTTATCACCATTTCACACTTGAAGGATCTGAGGCTCAAAGATGGTAGTTAATTTGCTCTGGGTCCCACAGATGATAAGGAACAGGGAGGTTGTGAAGACAGGTCTGCTAATTTCCAAGTTCGTATTCTTAGCCCCTCGCCTGACTGCCTGCAGGCATTGGCACCTGAGTGTGGGTGAATCAGTGGAGAACTGGGAACAGATTACTTGCCTCATGTCCTCCTCTTTCATGATCTGTTCTGTTTCTGCAGATTGAGCCATACATGCCATATGAATTCACATGCGAAGGGATGCTACAGAGAATCAATGCTTTCATCGAAAAACAGGTAAGGCTCTCCTCGGTCCATCTGTCCTCGCCACTCCCTCCCTTCTGGTACCCCAGGTAACTCATGAACAAGTAAAAGCTCACCATGTTTCTGGGAGATTTTCCTGATTTGGAGGATTCCGCAAGCTAGATGAGGGCTTCTTGAAATTCTAACATGTGAACTGCCATGGTCACCCAGAAGAGTCTGGCCGTCACTGGAGTAAAAATGTTCCTTGTGGGTGGAACATCAGATGGATACTGAAGGGAGGGACTGGATGGTCAAGATGAAAACCTCCTTCACCATCAGACCTGACCCTTGTCCAGGAACCACACAAAGACTTGGGTGGGGAGGGGGACAGAGAGATGGCTCAGTATATGTCAGTGATTCCAAATAGGTAGGACTCTTTAGTGGTTTTCAAACGTTTTTAAAAATAGGATTCCTTTTCAAATGAAACTTTACTTGAGATCCAAGTATATAAAACAGATAAAAGCAAAACTTTACTTCCAGAGCTGGGGAGGGCTCCTCGGGTCCCACCACCCCCAACAGAGTTGGGACACTGTGTCTTGTGCTCAGAGAAGTAAAGGCCAAAAGTGCCATTGCCATCGTTTTAAAACATCTTAATTCCTTAGGCTTCAGAAATAGCACAGAGCTAGAAATAGGCAGGCCGAGAGCCCCCATGGGTAGGGGAATATGAGCTCCTTGACCAGATGCGAGAGATGAGGGACTCTGCTTCTAAGCAGAGCATCTTAGTGCAATCAAGAGATCTTGACACATAGGCAGGGAAGACTCTGAGGCTGAAAGTAGAAATGGTGTGTTCAGAGTGAAAGCAGGCGTGGACTGTGGGCCAAGGCAGGTTTCCAAGGAAAGATTTGAGGCCAGAGACTGTGGTGAGCCGTGGAGAGCCCTGAGTGCAGCCTCTGGACGGGGCCAGCCAGAGACAGAGGCTTCAGGGGCCCAGGCCTGATGTTCTGAACGTTTGTTAATGGAAGGAGGGTCTACAGTGCAGCCCTCCCCTGGCATTCCAGCCCCTCTGCTGAGGCCTTCTGGCTGTATGACTTGGATGTGTTAGTTTCCTCCGCTGCAAAATGAGGATGATACTAGAACCTGAAGCGGCTAATGTGAAAATGAGCTAGTACATATGAAGTGCTTGGAACAAGGCCGACACATATGCTCAATAAAGACACACTATTGCTGTTGCTTATTTAATATACATTGTTACATTATTATGTGACAGTGTATTCTACAGTAGTATTCATCAGCCTTTACCAGGATAGCAGAGCATTTGAATCACTATCTCATTCACTCTTTATATGACACTTAACTCAAAAATGACAGTATCATTATCCTGACGGGGGCAGCCCTTTACATACAGACTTTACATCCCAACACATCATCTCATTTATCCTCACAGTAATCCTGGGAGGTAGCAATCATCACCCATTCTCTGGATAACAAGAACCAAGAGTCTCGGTCGTAGGGCTCAGTCATGGAATCAGGGTTGGATGCTGGGTTGGTTTGAGCCCACACAGGCTTGCGCCAACAGCATTGCTGGAGCCTTAGGCGATGACACTTGTCCCAGAGCTATACTTTCCATCTTCTTTGATCTCAAGAAGCTGCCAACCCTTCCCACAGGTGCAGACAGGGATGCGGTGGCCTGTGGCAGTGAGATTTTAAGACATCACAGATTTTACTACCCTTCCCGGAGGCTGAGATCTTACCAGGATCCCTGCCAGAACCCACTTCCACCTTTCCTGTCTCAACTTCCTCTGAGGGAAAATGGTTACTCACCACCACATTGTAAAAAGACATTTTGAATTTTATATCAGAGTGTGGATGATTTACAATACTGTATTAGTTTCAAGTATACAGCAAAGTGATGAAGTTACACAGGTGCATTCTTCTTCAGATTGTTTTCCCCTGTAGGTTATTACAGAATATTAAGCATAGTTCTCTGTGCTATACAGTGGGTCCTTGTCGACTAGTTTATATATACATTAGTGTGTGTATGGCTTCCCTGGTGGCTCAGTTGGTAAAGAATCTGCCTGCAATGCAGGCGATCTGGGTTCAATCCCTGATCGCAAAGATCCCCTGGAGTAGGAAATGGCAACCCACTCCAGTATTCTTGCCTGGAGAATCCCATGGACAGAGGAGCCTGGCGGGCTACAGTCCACGGGGTCGCAAAGAATCAGACACAACTGAGTGACTGTCGCTGTCCCTAGTGTGTGTATGTTAATCCCAAACTCCTAACTTATCCCCCGACCACCACCATATTTCCTCTTTGGTAACCATAAGTTTGGTTTCTGTTTAGTGTCTGTGAGTCTGTTTCTGTTTTGTAAAAAAAAAAAAAGTTCATTTATATCATTTTTTAGAATCCACATATAAGTGGTATCATATGATATTTGAAAAGACTTTATCATATTTATTTGAAGGCCGTCTTTCTTTCTTCCCTAAGATTCTTGAATGCCAGCCAGTCCTTAGAAGTTGTCATGTGACCCATTCTTTTTAAACCTATTACTAGATTTCCTTTCAAACAGGAAGGTCTATTTGTTCCCCAAATAGACCTTGTTAAATGTTCAGTGATGCAGGGCCACACCCAGTTCGGTCCCCTTGACATCCAAGTGCCCAGCCCTCTGCCTGGCAGGGAGGAGGTGCACAAACCTGAAAGAATGATTAAATGAATGAGGAGGGTAATGAGTGTGTGTGCTTTTCATTCCTGTGTGCCACGATCCAGGAGGCTCACCTGAACCCTCATGACTCAGAGAGACAATTAATAAAATTGTCTCCTAGAAAACATGCTCATAAAATTGCCCTTTCACACTTCCCCTGGGTAGAGTTTCTTCTGCAGAGCTCTGCCGCTCACAGAAACCCAGGCGTTTCTTTTCTGCCTGCTGTTATTCATGCATCTGCTCTGTATTTGTCAACTGGAGGGGACTGCAGACTGCGCCCGGAGCTGGGGAAGAAGAGGTGTCAAAGGATGAGTCCCTGTCAAGTAACTTCAAGGTCAGGATGATAGGCAGTGCTGCCGCCAGTGATGACACCTGTCACAGCGACTAGCCAGGTGTGCTTTGGGATCACGTAACTCAGGTGCAGGGTGGGGCCGGGGAGGGGACGGAGAGTGTCTGGAAGCACTTTGTGGGAGATGAGTCCTGAAGGCAAAGTGGGGGTACCTGAAGGCCTGGGGGAAAAAGAGAAATGGTGGTGAATTGGAAGGTTGGCGCTGTGACTGAAGAGAGAGAGATGATGCAAGAGGAGGTCGGAGGAGATACATCATGAAAAGATACTGAGGCTCAGCTCAAGAACTCAGAATTTGATTCTGGGACAAGAGGAGGCTGCAGACAGGTTTTAACTCAGGAATAGGGCAGTGATGCTATCAGATTGGTGTTTTAGAAAAGCCACTCTAGGAATCATTTGTGTTTAGGGGCATTTCTTGTTCAGCATTCTATCAGTGCTGCTAATGAGCAATAAAGGGGCCTATTTTGAGTTTATCCTAGGCCTCCAGGGAGAGTTTTCTTGAAGCCATAATGTTCCCCAACTCCAGAAGGAAATTGGGAAGCCAAGACCCGATTGGTTCACAGATCAGGTCTTCTGCCTCTTAACGATTAGCTCCAGGCTCTGGTGTTTCAGAACTTGGAGTGTTCAGTATTTTTGCTGCCCAAAGACCATCTTCAAAGGGCAGTGAGAGGCAGAGGCTGTTTCTGGTGTGAACAGGAAAGCCTCAAGCCCTGAAGGGTGGCGGCAGTGCATGCTTGTACTCTCTTAAATCTCTTAAATCGTAGGAGCGCCACAGCCCTAATTAGGCTGATCTCTGCCTTCAGAGCCCTCCGTGTGATCTGCTAAGGGAATAAGGAAGCTTTTATCCCAGAACCCTTTCAAGGTTTTTCATCACACTCACCCTAGGCAGTGGGGGCCAGAGGACGCCATTTGACCGCATTGAGAAAGCCCTGGGCCTCAGCGTGTATTCTGTAGCGTGCTTGACAGCAGGAAACCTCCCCCTCCAGACTGGGCAGCACCCAATGGGAATGAATCCTGGCTTTAGGAAAACCACTTGCTTTTTCCCTTAATGCCCCCATTGCCTCTACTATGCTAATAGTGTCGATTTGCATAGCAAGCCCTGTTGTATTGCTCTCCTAGAGAAGCACCCTCTCTCGAGCAGTAGGAGCTGGTGCCAGGGAGAAAAATCCAATGTATTCTAAGATCCAGAGTACTCTTCTCCCCTAATTTGGGTGTGTTCAGGCTTGTTAAGTTTCTCCTTATGCATTTCTTGGGAAAGACTTAGGTGCTTGCCTCAGGCCAGAGAGTAGAGCAAGTTCTTTTGATGGAATGTCAATGCTCAGGTTAATTTCTGAAAGCCATGCTCACATTATTTTGCAAGGAGCTGTATCGTTTATGAGAAAAGCACTCTGGAGATAGGGAGGGGGAGAAAAGAGTTAACTCCAAGAGCCGCAGTGGAATCAACTTTAGCTCCTGGGAAATCTGGTTCACGGGGGCCCATCCTGACCGCCTAGGGGCATGTTCTAGATGCAGGAACAAACCTGGCAGGGAATCGGGATAGCTCAGCGTAGCGGGGATGGTGGAAGTGCCAGGTCACAGGGAAAGAGGAAAAGAAACTGAAACAGGGAGAAGGTTGGCAGTTGCTTAAGAAGTATTCACTCTTTTGAAAAATTAGTGGTTGCTGTTTGCCCAGCCATTCCTGAACCCAGGGGGTTAAGTGGGTAATGACTGAGTGCTGGGCCCTAGAGTCTGACAGCCAAGTTCACTTCCTGGCTTAGCCCGAGCTCTCAGTGACCTGGGTCAGGTTTCCTAACCTCTGTGTGCTGATTCCTCTTCTGTCCAGTGGGGAGACTACAACCCACCCCTGGGGTTGGTAGAGGAATTAAGAAATGAATACATGTTTAAGGCTGAGAGGGTACCTGGCACCAAGTAGGTCCTCTGAAAGCCTTAACTTCCACTGCAGGAGCCCAGAAACCAATTTACTTGGTTTTCACGTAAAAGACACAGCTTCTTGCAAAATGATGTGAGCA